TATATTTTTTTAGAAAAAAAAATACAATTTATGGTAGATTTTTAAACTGGTCATTTTTTTTAACATAATAGTTATTTTTGTATTTTCTCAAAATTTTAAAATCTGTTTTTGAAAACTGGCTTTTGATGATTATTTCCTACATATATTAAAAACAAATTAGGGAAAAATAGTATTTCTGTTGTTTCACTTATTTTGAATGTACAACATGTAATGCATATAGTACATGTACCACATCTCACACGAAAACCTCCACGAGAATGGAAGAACACGAAAGTTGTACATTGGTCCAACACTAAAAGGGTGGCAGCATGGCATGAGAAGATGAAGTTTGTTATGCCCCGCTTTCGCTAAATTGCGCCGGTGGTCCACGTTACCCAGATATTTTATGTTTCCCAAATTACCCCTTGCTCGGCCACCCTCACACTGCCTTTATTTTCTCAGCTTTTTCCGAACGATTTTGGTGCTATATATGACCTCCTTCACTCTTATTAGTGTGTAAGTGTATGTGAGAGAGAGTGATTGATAAAGCCAAATACAAGATCGTTGCATACTTGTTGTAATTACAGATTTGTGGAACAATGCGCAGATCAGGAGGTGTCGTTTGGCTGAAGACGGTGGTGTTAATGGTGGCGGCTGCAGCGATGTTAGCCTGCGTGATGTGTAGAAGTCCGGTGCGCCACCTTGTCGGAGGGAAGGAAATGTGGAAACCGAATTATAATTACACTGATTGGTCTCGTGAGGAGACGTTCTACGTCGGCGACTGGCTCTGTAAGCAACACCTCTTTGTCTCTGTCTCTAATTTCAACATTTGTTATGATCCGTGATGCAATCTGTCCTGTAATTTTTTTGGTCTCGATGATGAATCATCGAATAGCAGGAGAATTCTCATCGAGCTTACGAAATTTGATTTTTCGTAATTCAATTACAGATAGTCGAATGTTTTTCGTATGCATAACATTTTACTTTGATTCTGTGTAGCTAATTCTCTGCGTTCAACTTTTTGCTTGTTCTGGATTCGTTTACTTCAGTTTTTTTACATTTTGTTTATCTAATCTATCTTCACATTCAAACAACGATCGAACGAATGGAATCCTAATGAACTCTCTAAATTTGTTGAGATTTTATCTATTTCCTAGTACTTCATGTCCTTCGGGTAAGTTGTTATCAATTTTGTTTAGTTCTTTTGCTTGTTCTTCATTCCTTACTGTGTACATTACATCTACTTGCATTTTCATCAGAATTTTCTTCGACTTAATTGTCTCTCATCAATCAATCATCGAAAGAGAAAATCTGTGCAATAAATTTCTTCTGAATGAGGTACCATCGTATGCCAGGAAAATTCTCATAAACTTTCTATATTTGTAGTTATTGTCATTAATTACTAGCAAACTCTTGAATCTTCTTCTACCTATATACGTATCAATCTTCTCTTTGCTTCTTTTAGCAAAATATTCTGTTCTCAGTGTTATTCGATTTTGCTTATTCTGGCATCCTTAATCAGACCTGGATCATACATATAACATATCGTCAACTAATTCATCGATCACTTCTTCTTCTTCTTCTTCTAAATCACATCCAATCGATCTGTTTTCACTTTTTCCAGATTTTGTATACGACAAGCACATGTTCAACGTGTTGGAGGTGAACGAAACCAGCTACAAAAACTGCACAGATCAAGGATTCATCTTCAACATCACGAGAGGGGCTGGACGTGATGTGTTTGAGCTCACTCAACCAAAGCCATATTACTTTCTTGCAAGTGGAGGTTATTGTTACAATGGCATGAAAGTCGCTGTGAATGTGGTTGAATTCATTCCACCTCCGGCTCCTCAGCCTTCTCCGGCCAAAAGTGGTGGCACCACAATCACCGGAATCAGTTATCCTCTTATCTCATCAATCCTGATTACCACATGGGCTGTTTTCGTCATGAATCAATGAAGATTATTCAAACAGGTACAATTACACATTTATCATATATAGCTATATAAATTTGGAAATTATATATATATTATATATATAGATATAATATTAGATCATTGGATTGGATTACTAAAGTGTTTTAGATTTTGGTAAGTGATTATCGTACTTAATACTTTGTTCTTTTTTATATATTTTTTAATAGTACTAAAAACACAATGTGCACATTATTTCTGTTTTTTAAGCTGATATAATTTGATCTTGACAGCTAATTTAGAAGATATAAATTGCCTAATTATATGAAGCTTTAATAGAAAATATTCATACTATCTCATTATTTGTTAAAATTCAATTTTTTTTAATAGATTGCAAAGCTGATAAATGTATAGTTTTATCTCTGTTGTCTACATTATTTATTCACTTTATTGAATTTTCTTTATAAAAAATACGTAAACATGCTAAAGCTTATAATGAACCAATTAGATAGGACTATAATAAACAAAAACATATGTTCTTTAGGTGTTTTATGAAAAAAAAAAAAAAAAAGGTAACTTAGTTTGCCTTGTGAGATTCAAATGAAATTGTTTTATTAAATATTTATAAATAAAAATGATATATACCATTTTATGCGGCATAACAAACATATATTGTTCGTTAATTCCAATGAAATGAATTGTTACTTCTTGAACTCCATATACCTTTTCCTTCACATGTCTAATGCAGTCCTCTTTTAGCAGAGAGTATGCCACACTTCAACACAACAAAAGATAAAGGAAAAAAGAAACATAGGTCATAAAGAGGAAAAAAAACATAAAGTATAATAGTATATTTGTATATTTATTTTTATTTTATAATCATGTATGTGTTTTCTTTTAACGCAGAATTATATTCAAAACTGGTAATTTTTTGGAAAAAAAAAAAAAGAACTACAAATGATCTAAACATTTTATTAATTCCATTCATAATCGAATTTTTTATTAAATGATCTTAGATTGTTAAGACTTAAGAAAAAAAAAAAATCCAATATGTATCATAAACTCGCTTTACATAGAATCAATGAAGAACAAGTATCATGCATTATGTTTTCCCCTTATTATTTTCATTTTTGAAATATTAAAAAAAAAATCAACTTTGAAAAGGTAGACGGTGATATAACATATATTGTTGACTACATCAAAGCAAGTTGTTTAAATATGTGTGTTGTTTTACATATTTTACATATCTCACGAATGTTTGAAGCCACCTGCGATTCGTTGAATTAATTCTAACTTTTTTGTTATATTGTTTAATTTATTATTCAATTGTAAAGAAAACAAACAAACAACTTAAAAACCTAAACGTTGGTTTAAAAACCTAAATATTGGTTTAAAACCTAAATATTGGTAATTTGTTGTCATTTTAGTAAATGACTCTGTAACTAAGTTGTATTATTGTGTGAGAATACAAACAAACAGCTTATATGGATTAATGTCTCTGTAATTAAAGTACAAATTAACGTCTATGGACTTTAGGAGGCTCATAACGACGATTACAAAGGATCACCAATGATTACTTAATTTCCTTTATGATGTGATTAGACACACTTATTATTGGTCATGATAGGATGACTAAGGATGAGAGGCATGTGATTTTACTGCTTTCATGTGTTTCTAATGCATGTTACCTTGTGTTACTTTTAAGATTATATCATAAAAAATAACAAATTGGCATATATTTATGTAAAACTGAGGTTTGGTTTGCATAGCCTTTTGGAAGTATTGAATTCATCAAAGAAAATAGAATTCAATGGATTTGAAATTCAATTAAAATCTTATAGGGTGTTTAGTTGAGAAAAAAATGAAATGGAATTCAAGTTAGTATATTTGTGAATATATGGTAAATTACTAAATTTTCCTTCAAAAAGTTTCTGTTGGTGAATAAATGTTTAAAAGGAACCCAAACCAAACTGCCACCACCACAAATCTATTACGAGAACACAAACATCGTCACTTCTTATGATTTTCAAAACACAATAGATATTTAAATCAACGTTTTGTTAATCTCTCGTTCATTAAATTATTTCAAAACTATGTAAAGAAATCACATACATATTAATTTACCATGTGTCATTTCTTTTCCACGCGCATAGGGCATTAATCTTTATTTTTTTTAACGGTTTTTGACGTTGTATTCATTTACATTATTTAATCATAATTTTTTTGAAGGTTTATTCATCTATTGGAAACTGACTTTTATAAAAATGGATAATCCGAATTAAAATAAAAATAAAATATAATAAAAAATAAAATAAAATAAAATAAAATAAAAAAACTTAGGAATGTTTTTTTGCAAAACCTTTTGTAAACAAAATGTTAATGTGAAAAAACATAAATGAAAAGCTTGAAACATTTAAAAAAAAGGATAATGACTTAAAAGGATAATATATTTTCGGTTTATCATATTTGGTCACTGAGTTTTTTTTTTATCCATATTACCCTTTAACTTGTTAAATTGTATGCATTCAGTTTTTATGGCTACTCCAAGTTAGACGGTAAAAATTACTTAATAAGGTAATATATTTCTCACTTTACACATTTAATCATTAATATTTTTGTACGTATTTAGTCTTTAATATTTTTTTTGTTACAAAATAAGACATTTTTGTTTTTGTACTCATTCAGTACTTATGAATGATTTATTTAAGTTTTTCTCACGACATCTTACATGGAACATTCATTAATGAGGTGTTTGGGACTTTTGATGCTTATGTTCATCACGATCTCGAATACTTGGTTGCTTAGGTTATGTATTGTGAACATCATAACTTCTTCATACAATTCCGGATTTTAACGATCTTTATATCCATTTGTTCGTATTTTTGTCTACTAAACCTTTCATTTTGATTACTTCCGTTAAATAGTAATATATTTTTTGCTTAAGATCTTTATATCCTTACGTTTTTTAATGAATGCATGTATGGACGTTTGTTTTTATAAAATCGTACGTAAAAATATATTACATGTTAACGGGGGTAATCTTAACGAAAGTTGTAGTTGACTCAAAAAACGAACACATGAATATAAAGATCGTTAAAATCTGATATCGTATGAAGAAGTTACGACGATTGGAATACAATATCTAAGCCAAACAACAAGACCTACATAACCAAGCAGTCGAGATCGCGATGGACATAAGCATCAATAGCCCCCCAAACACTTCTGTAACATTCCAAAAATACGACCCAAAAATTTCATTTTTCATTCAAGTGAGAACATTATTTCAAATCATAGTTCATAACCCAAATAAAATACGTATGTCAGATATTAGAAAAATCAGAGAGTGTCCCATAAACAGAATCCATATGATGTGTGCAATGCAGTCATCCCGAGCTTTTTCCCTTACCACTGGAAGTACCTGAAACATAAACTGAAATCGTAAGCACAAAGATTAGTGAGTTCCCCAAACTACCCAATACCATACATAATAAATCATACACTGGGCCCCCACCCGGCTTTAGGCCTCGCCTGACATTGAACCTTGCTCAGTATATAGATATGTTACTTTCAGGCCTTTCCTGTTACTGGGCCTCGCCCGCTATACACATACAATTAATATCACATAATCATGCTAACACATATAATGATCATAACACTAGCATATATTCCAATCCTCAGGCCTCACCTAACATTGAGACCTACTCGGTATACATACCAACACATAACACATGCAAGGGTCGTGCAGACTCCTAGCATCCTAACATAATTAATAAGGCCGATATTGGTGCCTTAGACCCGCTAAACCAGTGAGGAAACTTACCTCAAATACTGAATCTCATAGAATTAGCTGCTGCCCTAACGACTCCCCAAGCTATCAATATAAAATAACACCTTTTCAACAATTGGGTTCCAGATTATATTAATTAATCCATACTTGGGGTAAAAGGACCATTTTACCCCTTGGCCTAGTTTAATCCAAAACTAAGGCCCAAAACCAAAAGATCCACAAAGGCCCACTTATGGCCAAATTTTCCAAATTGGGCCCAAACCCCCAAATGGGCCTTGCCCTATGGCCCACTAAAATTCCTTAATCCAAAATTCCATATGGCCCAGAAGGCCCAAAACAAAGAGGTCCAAGAAAATGGACCAAATAACGCCAAGCCTAACTGCCTGAGTACTCAGTTGTACGCTAAGTGTACACGCTGCATGGCTTGTACGCTGTGCGTATGAGGTTGTACGCCCAACGTACTCACTTATTAAGCCTTCTCTACAATAAGTCCTTAACTACTTAAGTCCAAGAGTCCTGATCACAGATCTGAATCATATACAACATCTTAATCCGTAAAGTCAACAACTTAGTGGCTTTACATTCCCCAAATGGGCCCAAACTCGAAATATAACAATCTACTTCCATAAAAATGGCCATTACTCATGCATGGTTGGATTAAAGCTTCAAAGGTTGCAACTTTATGACTCTAGGACCCATAGAAAACTAAGAGTGGCAACTCTAAGCTTCAGAAACGGAAATAATACACAAGAGCTCATCTATGGGACCAAAAAGGGTCCAAAAGCTAAAACATGAAGCTCTAAGCTTCTAAAGATCAAGATCAAGGCTTTATACCTTACACAAGCTAGAAATAAAGCAGATAATCCATATCTACAAGCTCCTTCTTGAACCACCACCTTGCTCGAACCTTCTCTTCCTTGAAAACGTGACACAACACACCAAAATGCACTCAAAAGACCTTCAAAGCTCGAGAACATTCAATAATGGGGTTAGGGTTTCGTGGAGGCGATTTAGGGACAAGATGGGGTTGATAAAGAAGATCCTTAGGTCATAATGTTCTTTAAATAGTGCTCAAACCCTAAATATTAGGGTTTTGGGGACTGGACACGTACGTTATGCATACTTGTATGCAGCGCGTACGTGCTTGGCACCCGCGATCATTCCACATCAGTACGCCCAACGTACATAGGGTGGTACGCCTTGCATACTTCATACCTTAAGCCTAATAAGAAAAGATCCAATGATTTAAGGGCCAACTCATAATAATTAAATAACCCATAAATTAAAATAAATACCTTGGAAATTATCGAGCATTACAATTCTCCTCCACTTGAATCAGATTTCGTCCTCGAAGTCTGCTGTCTCAAACAACTTAGGATAGTGCTCCCTCATCTTCCCATCGGGTTCCCAAGTCCACAACCTTGTTCCTCAAGGTTTTCGTCTTCCGGTTTAAATTTACCACCGG